TGCCACAAGCGACAGATGGACATCATCAGGAATGGAGAAATGGCGTTTAAAGCCAGCAATACGATCTGACGAGAGGAGGTCTTTTAAATGTTTCGCCATACCCTACAGTCTATGAGAATATGCCAAGGAAGGAATAAACCAGAAAGAGTCCTCGAAGCAAGGGAGGAGAGAATTTACAAAGGACGAAGAAGATATCGGAGAAGAGAGTTTCAGGAACGATCCAAAAGGCAATCCAGCGATGAGCATCATAAAATACATACTTGAAAGGATCTCGAAATTTTAAATCGCAATAATAGACACGTACGAGGGGGCGGGAAGTCGACACAACAATCGAAAGGGGTGCGCTTAGATATCCGCATGAGGATGAGGCCAACCGCCGAATTTTGGCTCCGACTTTTAGGAATTCAAAACCAAGCACTCCAGCCAACTGTCGTCGGTGAAGTGCTTGAGGGGCAATTGTGGGAGCCGAATAAGCAGAAGAGTCGGAAGATGCGTACTCCAGAAATTAGATACTATCTGGCGTCCTTCATATTGCGTGACTAGGACGCCGAATACGTTAGGAAAGCCGAATAGACGGAGGTCAGTGGCTTCGAATTAATAAAAGGGGAATAGGATAAAAGTAGACTCAGGCCCTGAGGCCCAAAAGCAAGTATAAATATAAGAACCATAAATTTAGAAAGTTATGTAAAAATCACTTGACAAAACTTAGTAAAGAAGCTACTCTGAGTATCTGAACTAACTTGTCCATCGGAGTGCTAATTCCGGCACTCCCGACCGGAGTGTTTGTATCTTTTCAGGTGACTAGCTGAGGATCACTAGCATCTCCCAAGATCCGAAGAGTATTTCCGAACTATTTCTCCACAAAAGGGATAATGTTATGGTACACACAAATTAAGTCGTTTGTGAGTTTAATTATCACAAATAACATAACTCAATAATATCTGAGTCATAATTATAAAAAAATTAAAAAAAGAAATTATAACTAAACATCATATGAAATATAAATAAATAACTTTTAAATTATAATTAAAATAATATTATAACTAACATCATAATATATCATAATTAACGATCATAATCATTAAATCAAACATCATAAGAAAGATATAAATAGAATTTTCCAATAAGAAAATGCGAGTATACATGCTGACACACAATTATAACACAATTATAATATATTTATGTCTTTTCTCACCTAACTTCTTAGGAGAATAAAAAAACGGATTACAATTAATGATTCAGAGCATTAATTTTAATATTTTAATAAAGTACTAATAATATGATAAGAAGAACAAAAAAATAAATAAATAAATAAATCAAAATTAAAACATCACATCACAGTGAATGGAACTAATAACATGGCAATGAAAATAAATGAATAAACAAATCAAAATCAAAACATCATATCACAGTGAATGAAATCCACTGCAAGCTCATTAAAGTGAGTGAAATCACAGTGAGTGAAATTCACTGCCAGCTCATTAAAGCTAGTTTTAGAGTTTAAGGATTAAAATTTCAAAATATTTTTTTCCAATAAATTACTCCCTAAAAGATGGAATTGTTCAAGGAACCTATAAGAATAGTGTTTTAGGTAATTGATTCCCTAAATTAGTTAAAAAAAGAAACTGGGGAGTTGTTATGTTATGAAAAATGTTCAAGGCCACGAATTTTGTTATGTTATGAAAAATGTTTAAGACAACCAATTTAGGAGCTGTTGGAGAGTTTTAATTGGTGAGCCTCACCTCCTGATGTAATGTTTTACCTTCTTTTTGTTTTTTCACTACGAGCTCTATGCTGCAATAGTGCTGCTGATTTAGGGGTTGTTTGGGATGACCTAAATAAGTGTATTTTTTATCTTTTTATGAAAAGATGTGCAAAAAAGTAGAGAGGTGATATGATGAAAAAAAGATAAAAAGATAAAAAAAAATGGATTATTTTTGGGTTGCCAAACTTGACCTTAGTGGTCCAAATCAAAACTTTATGTTATTGATGCCCTTTGTTCATATCTTCCTATACGGGAAAGAAATAATTCTCCTCGTATAATCATGTTGACTAAGTCCACGCTCCTCCGTACAACGTCGCTTTGTCACCTGAAAACACAAACATGAGCGAGCTGGCGGGTGTGTGCCGGAAACCTCTCCGATGCCTAAGTCAGCAAACTTGACAGATAGACAAAGCTCAATGTATTCAGAAAACAAAATTTTGTGTGTTACCTCCTCCAAGGTGATGTTTGTGAGCTTTTATAGGTTTCGAATGGCACAATCTTAGTAGGACTTTTATTCCTCCATGCAGAGTCCTCCTAGGATTCATACTCCTACAGGATAATGCTTATCCTTTTACACCCTCCCCCACTGCTTAAACCAAGTGGGATGGTTTTTACCATGGCCGAACTACCATTTGACCGAAGTAAAACTGGCTATGCTGAGCCACAAAGTAGGCCGAACTATCCTTAGTTCGGCCCTTCCTTTTACTACTCCTTATCTCGGTTTTCTCCTGTTCAACCCATGGTATGTTTGGACCGAGCTACTGAGTAGCAAGGTTCTGACAGATCTATCCTGAATACGTCATGACCGAACTAACTCTGAGACCGGTCTTACTTCAAGTTGTCCGGACCGAAGTAACTCAACATCTATTCTGGGCCGGAATAACTACATCTCTCTTGGGCCGAAGTAATTTTTCAGCCCTTTTTACCCAATCCTTTGTACTTTGGGCCATAAAGTCCAACTCATAGCTCGGTCCAATTTTCACCAAAAATTACCCTCTCACTTCCTATTGGTTGTGAATCACAGCAATCGAAAACGCAGGATTCCGTGAATTTGTTTATATTTGTAAACTACTCGTTTTGTAATTTGTAATTTTATTTAAAAAATTATTTTAAATTGTTATATTATTTTTTATTTTTTTTACATCTTACATAAAAAAAAATATCTTTATTTACTCTTTTTATATATATTTTTATAAAAAAAATTAAAAATTATTAAAATAATTTATTTCCCATACCGATCAAAAATAAATAAATAAATTTAGTAATAATATTGATGTAAGCTATCCGCACATATATAGCTGTTGGAGTTAGTTAAGTGAAGTTGACTTCTTGTTCTTTGTGTGATGAAGCATCTATTGGCATCCTTGTGGGAATGCCCTACTCACATGAGTCTTGTTCGGTGTATATAAATTGAATATAGACACTAACTAATATTGTGGATTCCACGCAATGTAGAGTTAGCCATGTGCACATGTGTGTCGCATTTTTTTAACTCTGAGGTGATGTTTGATTCATAAAATTAATAATGAAAATATTAATAATTTTATTAAATTAGAAGTTGTTTAAAATATTTTAAATAAGTGTATTTTTTAATTTTTTATAAAATATGAGTTGAATATAAGTTAGATTTGAAGTGATGTGATATAGAGATGATGTGACTTAAATAAGATAATATGACTTAAATAAGATAATATGACTTAAATAAAATAGTGATTTTTTAACTTTTAACTTTTTAATTTTTTTAAGAGATGACAAACAAGGCCTTAGTATAGTATTCATTATTTAATTAGATTATTAGTAGGATAAATTACATTTATCTATTGTTTAATTTGTATTGGATAAAAAAACATATGAAGGTAAAATAGTCTTTTTATTTTATTTCCCAATTTAGATATATAATCTCACCCCTACCTTATTACTAATAATTCTACAAATTTGTTGGATTAATTATCTATTAGATTAATAATCACACCCCTACTCCATTACTAATAATTTTACAAATTTGTTGGATTAATTATCCGTTGGATTAATAATCCTAAAACAAAATTTCAAAACAAACACAGAATTATTAGACCCACAAATTAATAATTTCAATCCTATACTTTAATCATGTCAATCAAACATGCCCTTAGCATTAGTGAATCTTATTAGAGAACATTAATTTTTATGTCTATTTTAATATTTTTCATAATTTATTTCTGTGAATGGAGTTAAGGGGTAAGTCATACAATAGCACTATCTATTAATTATCTATTAGGTGATCATTCCCAATTAAGTTTTTATAAAATAAATTCAAGTAATTGTCCCCCATATATATATATATATATATATGAAACATAAGGTTAAAATATAAAATAAAATAAAATAAAAGGGGACAATAGTTAATAAAATAAATTAGTGTCTCGTAAGCATCGATTACAAGCTCCGGCCAACAAAAAAGAAAGAGAATATTACAAATAAGTGTAATTGTAAAAAATAATTACAAATTAATGATAAATTTTATCAATTTTAATAATTAAAAATATAATTTTTTTTTTCATGTATTTGTAAAAAAATTTATTATATATTTTTACACTGAATTATAATTTTTTCAAAAAGAAAAGTAGGTAGAGGATGAATCATTAAGAAAAACATTTTTAAAGATTTTAATTAATGATGTGGCACCCACTTTTTTAAAAAAAAAAAATAGGCACAACAACATTATGACAGTAGAAACCCACTGTCACATTATTAGCGATGACACTAATTAATGCTCCCATTCATTTTCTTTCTAATGACATAAAAAAGAGTTGACCACAACTCAAGATGTCTCATTTTAGAATTTAGGCATCAGTTAGCAAGTGGCTTTTTTACTCAAAAAGTAATTAAAAAAATCAAAAAACTAATAATTCATACTAAAAAGTTAAAGATTTTTTTTTCTCTTTACTTTTTGCACATCTTTTCGTAAAAAGTCAAAAAATCATCCCAAACATATTAATTTTTTTTACATTATATTTTAACTAAAAAATTAAAAAATTACTAAAAAAAACATATTCCCAAACGAAACCTTAGAACTCCTTTCTGTTATGATCTTTCATAACTCAACATGAACACAAGAGGGGGGATAAAGTTATTCATCTATATATTTTCTTTTTCTTTTTCTTTTTTCTTTTTTTTCTACCAATAAAAATTGATGTTGTAATTTATAAGTTTTTTTTTTTTTTAATTTTTTAAATTGTTAATGTATATGTGGCCTTTTTATCTGTCCCATATTCTTAGATTTTCCCTCTATATAAAACCCAAACATGCATCTTCATCTTTATGTAGCCAAGTGACAATGGATGTCCCCTCTAACCTTGAAGTTCCCTCTTTTGAATCAAAACTTCCATTTCAAGCTATTATCCTAGTGACCATTTTTATAGCCCTTCTTGGGGCATACTTGAAGCTCAATTTCTCTCTTCATCGAGGCAAAAACCTTCCCCCGGGTTCCTATGGGTTTCCAATTGTCGGACAAACCCTAACTTTCCTCAAGGCCCAGAAGCAAAACGAGCCAGATAAATGGATTGCAGACCGCGTCGCCAAGTATGGACCGGTGTTTAAGACCTCGCTAGTCGGTTCAAAGGCGGTTGTTGTCACCGGGCAAGCTGGTAACAGGTTAGTGTTCAGTGGGGGTGACAATGGCATTGTCAGCAACTTACCAAAGTCTTCAGGAAGCATATTTGGGAAGCACAGCATCTTTGAGGTCTCAGGATCCAAACACAAGCTTATTAGGGGGGCAATGATGAACTTTCTCAGACCTGAGAGCCTTCAAAGATTTGTTGGTGAAATGGATTTACTGGTCAAGCAACAACTATTCCAAGTAATATCTTACAACCCTTACATATATTTTGGGAATTAAAATCCCTTCCTTGACTTTTTACTGGCGGTGTTATTGGGTCTACTTTTTAAATCTAATATCGATGATTCGAATTATTTATATTTTAAAATTTATTAAATATATCATGTTTATAAAAAATTAAATTAATCGGATATTAAAAAGTATGTGTTCGAAAAATTATTTATTGAATTTTTTTAAGAAATAGTTTTTAGTTTGATGGTGAAATGGATTTACTGGTCAAGCAACAACTATTCCAAGTAATATCTTACAACCCTTACATATATTTTGGGAATTAAAATCCCTTTCTTGACTTTCTACTGGCTGTGTTGTTGGGTCTACTTTTTAAGTTCAATTTTAATGATCCGAACCATTCACATTTTAAGATTTATTGGGTATATCATGTCTATAAAAAATCAAGTTGATCGGATATCAGAAAATATATTTCTGATATCCGATCAATTTGATATGTTTCAGATATGATATAATTAACAAATCTTATAATATGAACGGTTCCAATTATCGAAATTAGACTTAAAAGTGGGCCCAATAGCCCAACAAATAAGAAGTCAATGAGAAATCCTAATTGATAATTTGGATGCTTGTTTTTGTGTTCATTAAATGCATAAATAAACTTCTTCTTCGTCTTTTTAATTTTATAAATTGTTGTAACATTAAGTGGTTAAACTGTGAAATGTGAATTGGGATTCAGTTAAGAGTTGTTTTGGATGAATTATAGAAGTGTACTTTTTTACTTATTTGGTTAAAAAGGAAAGGAAAAAAAGGAGGATTGTTTGAGATAATTTTTTAATATTTTACGAAAAAATATGTATTAAAATATTATATGAAATATTAAAATTATCTTCCTGCCCTTTTGAATGGAGACATGTTTTCCCTGCATGTTCAAACTTGAGGCAGTGCACTGAGCTGTACTGATTTTGTTTTTTTGTTTTTTTTGTTTTTTACTTGTGAGCTATGCAATCTTGTGTTTTTCTAATTATTGTGTTGAATTCAATAATGTCATGATGGTGGCAGCCCAATAGTAAAATTGTTGGTCTGAAATAGATAAAAAAATAGCAAACCAAAAAAAAATTTAAATTAAAAAATCCAAAAAATAAAATGCAACAAATTAAACAAAAATAACTGATGTGCTACTGTTGGTCAACAAATGTGCATTTTTTACTTCACGCTACAAATACATTACCGTAGCTGTCACATGAAATATACACATATTTCCTTCCTATTTTCTATGTTAATCTGTGGTCATGAACAATAACATTATAAGTTTATAAATTATTTCAATAATATTACTAATGACAGTGAAACAAAATTTCCAAAATTAAAACATACAAATGCAAACTTTTCAAAAGTTTTTTTTTAAAATTAATTTTATTATCTCAAAAATTTAAAAATACAATTACAATGTTAAAAACCTGACGTGTTTATGAATTTTTGGTTGTTGATAAATACAATATTATTTTTGGTTGTTGATAATTTTGTACAACAAATTATATCCTTCTAAGCTATGATTACGTAATACAATTTTTTGTTTTAACAACATACATAAATTTTATACAACATACAGCGAAGATAACACCCGCCACACCAACAAATACTTCGGCCCTACACATGCGCTTACTGTTGCAATGTGTACGTAATATTCGCTCTTATAGTGGCCATTTCTGGATCTGAATCCCCTGACTCCATGATAGCGGCAACCTGGGTGTATTCGGGGTAGTCGGGCATTTGCGGCGCCACGTACTCGTCGTCGCCTGTGATATTCAGCGTCACCTCGCAATTTCACTATTCCTGCATATGAAGTTATGTAACGCCATCGATGCACATATAAAGGGCACCTGAACAGAAACTTTTAACTTCGGCATATTCCGCAAAGCCTCCCACCTCGACTTTTAGGCACCGAATGTCCGCTCGATACAACTACGCAAGAACGAATGTGCCTTGTTGAACCGTTCGAAGTCGTTCTATGGTATTCGACTCCGATAGGCATTTTGGTGATATCTATACCCCTTGTACAGGGCTAGATATCATGTCTTGTTGCTATAGCCACTATCAACCAAATAGTATTTTCTTGCACAGGTTCAAAAATATAACTTGTATTTTTATAAAATCATATAAACTATTTTTATTTCTTCTATCTTTTGTACTTTTGCCCTTAATTTTTTTTAAAATTTTACTCTTACAATAAACTTATGCTCATAATTAGATAAAAAATATCACAGTAAAATATGGCATAGCAAAAAATATATATTATTTTATTGAAGAGAGTTATATACTTTTCGAATATATATATATATATATATATATTTTGGAGCAATCAAATTTTGTGTATTATTCATACTTTTCGAATATATTAATTTTTTCGTTAGCTCAGACTGCTACTATTTTCGAATAATTTTGAAAATCGAGAAAATCTGTTTTTTATTATAACAAAAAAAATTGGGATTTTTGGTGGAACCCCCCTTTTGGGCCTTTTTATTAGGGTAAAGGATAACTCAATTAATTTTCTTTCAAAAAGTCACTGAGTAAGAAATGCTTACCTTAATAAGGACATTTTATAATTTCTATTTTTTTTATCACAATATTGCCCTTATATATATAGTACCATACGTATGAAAAATTTGAAATCTGAGCTCGTAGCCGATGAAGACGATGAAGACGATCTCCAAATCGATCATACTTCACAAAATCGATGAAGACGATCTCCAAATCTGAAGATCTCGCAGCCGTTACATTCCTCATTCAAGATTTTGAGAATATATGTATATATATATATATATATTTGTGTGTATGAGTGTTGTTGAACATATGTATTCTTTTCATTGAGATTTGTGATTGTTGATCGAGTTTTAGAAGTTTTTCTTCTCAATTAGATATGTTGATTTGTTGATTAATTTGTTTTGTTTTTGTTTGTTTTGTTTTTGATTTATTTTTGTTGTTTTTTTTATCAAATTTCATTTGATAGAACCAGAGTAAAATTTTACTCTGGTTCTATTGTTCTGTTTTTTCATTTGACAGAATCAGAGTAAAATTTTACTTTTGTGTAGAGTAACATTTTATTAGTTTTTCAGAGTAAAATTTTACTTTTAGTTTCAAAGTCTCACAATTTACTCGTTTTTCAGAGTAAAATTTTACTTTTATACAGAGTAAAATTTTACTCTTAGTTTCAGAGTGTAAAATTTTACTTTTATACAGAGTAAAATTTTACTTTCATACAGAGTAAAATTTTACTTTTAGCTTCAAAGTCTCACAGTTTACTCGTTTTTCAGAGTAAAATTTTACTTTTATACAGAGTAAAATTTTACTTTTAGTTTCAGAGTAAAATTTTACTTTCATACAGAGTAAAATTTTATTTTCATACAAAGTAAAATTTTGTGAGGGTAATATGGTAAAAGAAACAAGTTTTAAAATATTATGGGGTTTTGAAAGTACTTATATAATTCTTATCCTTTTAAAAGACAAATTAGATAGTGAGAGGGCTATCACCAAATCCCCCAAAAAAATTTGTATTGACCTCTCTTAAATTTTTTAGATTTTAAAAAATAATTGTCAAATATTACAACTTGAAAAAATGGTCGACACCTACATTGCTTTTCCTAGATAGGAACCATTGTGTATGAATTTTCATATTACATGTTAGGTATTTTTATAACAATTACTACTCCGATTTTGCTAATATAGTTAAGACAAATTATAATTTAAAAATAAAATTATCTATTTTCATGGTGGTGCTATGTATTTTATTTCTTAATCACAAATAATCAACATAAAAGAAACACAGTGGTCCACGTAAACAAGTCGAACAAGAGGGAATTTCTTACCGGGCATGGGGTGAGGGAATCGATATTTAGGCTCGGTTGTGATCAAAAGAAAGTACTACCCTGATGCTATGAAAAATTGTAAAATACCACCACCAAAAAAAAAAAAGAAAAAAAAAAAGAAAAAGAAAAAACTTTCTCAAATGTGAATATGGTATATAAACAAAATCATAGTCGAAAACAAGATCCTCAACTACAAAATGAAGTTGATTTCTTCATCGTTTACTCCGTTTGGCAAGAGCTAAACGGGGCTTTTTTGGCTATTTTAGCCACAAAAGACAAAATAGGCTATTTTAGCCACAAAAAACAAAATATCACATCCAACCCATAATCATTACATTCTTCTCTCACAAAAAAAGTCAAAAAAGCCAAAAAGCCAAAAAGTCCTTCCCAAACCAAACTTTTTAGCCCAGGCTAAAATAGCCAAAAAAGTCAAAAAGTCAAAAAGCCAATCCACTTCCCAAACGGAGGCTCAGAGTCATGTAAAAGTCTAAAACATACCAAGATATAAGATACACTACATTTATGAATAAAAATAAAATTCATCAAACAAACCAACAAACCAAGGGGAAAGAAGAGAGACATAAATTGCCAAAAATTTGGAAAATCCATAAAAATGCAAACACAAATTCGTATGCCTATGTGAACATCCAAAATATGGAAGCCAAAAAAAGGTAAACAAATTCATACCACCGTCTTGTACTGTGGATTAAAAAGTCGAACATGGCGCAGAATATGCTAAACAATTTGTGGGAAAGGGGGTTATGTACAGATTTTTGACATGGGCAAAAATATTGGACTGCAAGAGATGTTACCTTCTACTTTGGGGGATAGGGGGCCGAAATGGTGAAGATCTGGTCAGTGGTGGTGCAGATCTGGATGTCGGTTGGTCCTTCCCCTCTGGTACTGATGTGACGCGCTCGCGTGTTGGGACACCTTTGGTGATGTTGTAAGAAGAGGTTGTGGCAAAGTTCCGGCAGTTGGCAGTGTGAGGGTGAGAAACTGTCGGCAGCTTCAATTTGTGGTTGTTTAGCATCTGTTTGGAGAATGACGGCTTTGGTGATGCTATAAGGAGAAGGTTGTGGCGGAGCTCCAGCAGTTGGCGGTGTGAGGGTGAGGGACTATCAACGGCTTAACGGAGGAGTGTTTACACGTGTGTTTGGAGAAGGAGAGGAGATGTTGAGATGAGACCCTCTATAAACCCTAGTATCCCTTTAATAATTGTATTCTAAGAGGAAGGGACAAAAGCAAGGGAAAAATTGTCTTTTTGCCCTCTGAGTATTCAACCCTAGATTCTCGTCCAAACATTGTGAATAGTATAAAGTTTTTTGCTTTTTTAGTAACTTTTTCACTTTTTATCTTTTTTAAGTGATGCCAAAAAGGGCTTAATATGATAATTGCCTCATCTATAATCTTTCTCTATAACATGGTTTTAAATAATGTTATGAGAGTACTTACTAATATCAAACAGTACTGATTGAATAGTGCTATGAAACTACTATAATATTGACCAATCAGTGCTTGACATGTTAAGCTGGAATCCTGAATTGAATAGCACTGCTCTAGAGAGTAAGATCAAAGAACAATAATATTTTCAATTACATGCCTCATGTGATCTAAAATTCATTGCAGGAACTGAATGGAAAGGATTCAACACATGGGGTGAAACTAATGAAGAGAATCACTTTCAAGGTTACTTGCAGCCTACTGTTTGGATTGCCAGAAGGGAAGGAGAAGGATGCGCTTTTCGCGGATTTTATAGTTGCCATTAAAGGAGCATGGTCAATTCCCTTGGATCTTCCAGGAACTGTGTTTGGAAAAGCGATGCAAGCGAGGCGTCGGGTAACTAAATTGTTGTCCAATTTGATTAGCAAAAGTAGAAGAAAAATGGAAGAGGGAAAGGTCAGCTCTCAAGAGGATATGATCTCAACCTTCATTGCTCTGAGAGATGAAAATGGAGAACTTATTCCTGATGTGCAAATCATTGATAATTGTGTGACTCTCATGATAGCAAGCCATAACACCACTAGCATTGTTCTGTGCATGTTGCTGAGGCTGCTTGCTAGAGATGCTGAGGTCAGAAGCAAAGTGTTGGAAGGTAATCAATATCATAAGAGCAAAAGATATGTATAAATAAAAAATTACAAAATTTCATGTAATGCAAAATTGTGTGACCGAATAATGGTAGGGGACCCAATAAATTACTAAATATGCTATACAATACTTATATATGTAGAATATTTAATAATTTATTTGAAATTTGAGAAAAACTTCATTGTCAAAGGTCCAATTATAAATTTTGAAAACACACCATTTTGTCCAATAGATCATGGTGAACCTCTTTGTCCAGTGCCCATAAAAAATTAAAAAAAAAAAATTGCGTAAAGGCTCCAATCCTAAAAGTTAAAATATATATATATTAATTATCTAAAAGTCAAAAAATAAAAAGAAAATCTTATATAAGGACCCAGTTTAAAAAATATTAATAAAAATCTTCATTGACTAAATACCCCAATAGTAAAGGCTGTAAATAAACCTCCAAAATTTTATTGGAAAATGATTTGGAGCCCTAAAAAAGCTCTCTAATCCCCCTGATCCCCAAAACGACGTCGTTTTGGGGAGTTTTGGGAGTTTTTTTTTTTTTTTTTTTTTTTGCCTTGGTTTGAAAATTCGGGGGATTAGGGGGGGATTTTCGGGGGACATAGCACGGCCCAATTTTATTTATAGAAAATACATTTTATATACAAAATATTAATAAATATTTGAAAAATATAAAAAAAGTGCCTCCTATTAAGATTTTACTTTACGTCTCATTAAAAGTTGAACCGGGACATCATGTTCCTAAGACCTAAGGGTATTGACCAATATATATTAGAATTTTATCAATATTCACTAATATATAATCATATCGTTAATACTAATACGTGTATCTGCCTGTCAAATGGATAGTTAAACTTGCTTGATTAAACATGGTCTAATGATTTGGCCCTTGATAAACCTTCTTTTATTTTTTTTATTTTTCCTTTTCTCCTTGCTTGGGTTTTGATAGAGCAAAAGAAAGCTCTGAAGGCAAGAGAAGAAAATGGTGGAAAGCTTGGATGGAGTGAGATACAAATGATGAAGTATACATGGAGAGTGGTCCAAGAGATCATGAGGATGACTCCTCCAGTTTTTGGCAACTTCAAACGTACCTCTAGAGACATCTCCTTTGCTGGTTTTCACATCCCCAAGGGTTGGCAGGTGTGGTTCCACTTTTTTTATCTTGAGTCGAAGAGTCGCCAAAAATTATGGATCCGTCCCTGCTATAGACCAATTGGTTCAAACCACATTTAAAAAATAAAAATAAAACTTGATTTTTAACTATATAGAAATCAGAAACTTCATTGGAACAATTAACTTGGCAGGTATTTTGGGCGACTTCTCCTACACACATGGATGAGAACATTTTCTCAGAGCCAGAAAAGTTCGATCCATCAAGATTTGAGAACCCTAGTGGCTCAATCCCTCCATATACTTACATTCCTTTTGGAGCAGGCTATCGGATTTGCCCCGGGGCAGAATTTGCCCGAATTGAAGTTCTCTTGATAATCCATCACTTGATCACAAATTATGAATGGTCAGAAATGATCCCCAATGAGCCCATTGTACGTGAGCCCACGCCGTACCCAGCTATGGGGCTTCCTCTCAAGCTTCATCCCAACAAGATTCATGTGTAGAAAGCTATCTTTAGATTTTTCAAGATATCTACGTATTTAGAATTTTTATCAAGAAAAGTATTGAGAATTTGAAATGTATATGAATTAGATTTTTCTTAAGTGTGATCTGCATGACACCATGTTTAACTCTAAATTATTAAAATTCTAAGTACTTATTCTAAGTAAAAATTATGAGTACATAGCATTTCTCTTATCATATGATTATAATTAATGTTTGCTTAGCATTGCAGAAGTGCTTATTTTGGTTGTAAAACAAAAAATTAAATAAAGATTTGTGCTAATATGATAATAAATTGAGTGCTTTGAAATGCTATGTATGGTCCAAAATGGAGCTGTTAAGTAAGTAGCTGAGAAGAAAAGAGCATATATTGTACCCAAATTGGCGTTTTTGTTGAAGACATGAATTAGTAGAAGTTGGGCTTGAACTTCAAAGACCATTGCCCCGTTTGGACTTTCAAAAGGGTTTTTAAGGGCTCAAAATTGAAAACTCATTTGTTTATCTTTATTCTCAAAACTATTTTAAATTTATCTTTATTCTCAAAATTATTTTAAATCTATTTCAAATTTATCTCTACTCTCAAAGCTATTTCAAATCAAATTTATCTTTATTACAAAATTAAGTTATGACGTGGTTAGGCCCACAAAGGTCATAGCCCACCATGAACAATCCAAGCCCATCACTTAGAGCTCAACACATAACTTAACTGATGAGATCCGGAACACCTGGAAGCCAACATGGCACGAAGAACCAATGATATTCAGACATGTGTCAGGTAAAGGACAAATCACATCAGCAGACAAAGATTTGCAAAGTTATTGCCACTGCACATCGCCATTAATGCAGTCCATCACAACATTTATTACGACAACACCTCTCCGTCGGAACAGTACCCCCTCACCTTGAACAAGGTAATCTACAGCATAGACTTTCGGCCAAGGTGGCAGGTGGGAAGGGACGGCGAAATGATTACCAAATGATATAAGCAGACGTTGAAAACAAGAAGGAGGTTAAGCTTCCTATCTCCAATCTCTCTCTACACTCTACTTCTCTTTCTAACTTACTCGTCGGAGGGTTCACTGGGGGGACTCCCCGTTCCCCATTGAACTTGTCTGCAGGTTCATTAGTGGGTTTGATCACTCAGATATTGGCACGAGAAGCATGGATCAGTCTGACCCGTTCTGCTAGGTACCCGTTGTATATTAATTGTATCATCAAGTTCCATTAGTTGAACTAAAATCTATGTTGAAGTATCACTACAAAAAATTAAGGTTTTAGAGACTAAAATTTATGGACAAAATTATTTTTTAGGGACTAAATATTTTTATTGCGAAAAGTGTCGCCATTATATTTTTAACAACGAAAATTAGACATTAGTGATGAATTATTATTTTTTTGGGACCAAATTTTTTGTCTCAAAAAATAAATTATTTTGAGACCAAATTATTTTGTCCCTAAAAGTGTATTTATTAGTGATATTTTCAAAATTTTGTCGCTAAAAGCCTTATTTTTTACTTTTCAGGACAATCTTTTAGCGATTATCTTCACGACGATAGAAATTGATCTCTAAATGTCTTTCACAACAAAATTTTCGCTTTTAAAGACCAAAAAATTTAGTTTCTAAAACTCTTATATATTGTAGTGTATGTTGTACATCATATTTTCAAGTTAATTGAATTTTTTTGAGTGAATTTTTGTAAATAAAGTTATTTACAAATTCATACAAAAATTTAAAACAAAATGAATTTGTATTTTGAATTAATAAAAAAATATTTTTGAAAATAGTGAAAAAAAATGTGATACACATTTTAAGCATATGTAGATTGTTTTAGAGGGTGTTTGATAACATGATTTAGAACTTAAAATTGAATATATTAAACAATAATCAATTAAATCTGTTTGATAATCATAATTGACATCACTTAAAATTTTAAATATTTCTTAAAATGTTATAATCGTTTGTTGTGCCAATCAATACTTGAAATTGATTTTCAATCAACACTGGTGTTCGATTCTAAGAAAAGTACAAATCTGCTGCTTGAACCATCAAAAAGGAAACGGCACTGATTTAGTGCTCTAAATTGCAATATTAATGTAAGTTTTAATGAGTTGGTAGTATAAGAAAAAAACAAAAATAAAGTAAAAACTAAACTATCATATTAGTGGTGAGTTCACATTAGTATCACATTATTAGTGATTTATTAGTGGTCTTCAATTAATGGTTTGAAGTATTTTTGAAACAAAAATACTTGAGACCACTAATTAGTAGTGACACTAATGATGTGACAGTGGACCCCACCCACTACCACAGTATTGTTGTGCTTCTTTTATTTTATTTTTAATTTTTTACCTCATTAGTGATGATTTAGTGGTACCAAATTAGTGGTACCAAACACTGCTGTTTTTGAAAAAGGAAAACAATCCATTGCTCTATGTAGTTAAATGTATAAAACCACATGTGTACTAAAATCAACTTGCTTTAAATACTTTAGATGCTTTGATGTACCAAAAAAAAAATCATTAATATGCCAAGACTTCAAGCAGTGAAGGCTCCAAGAATGTATATGCATCTAAGCTTCTAATTGTTCAGTCAACCTAGGAGATCATAAGAAGCTTTATTTTTACTTGCAAGTAGATGGAATTGAGTCACCTCCCTTCTCCATATATATATATATATATATATATTTGGTAGTGTAGTCAGAGTAATAAATGGCTACTTCTCTATATTGGTTTTGATTAGACATTGAAAAATCAAAAATTCCCGAGATGTTGATTTGTGATTATATATCAATTTTAACTAGTAAATAGTATTCGCAATCAAACAATCAAAGACAAATCGACATAACGATTTTAACGTGAAAAAATCACAATTGGAGTACCTCCAATTGTGATAAAAAAAACCATGGGCCAAAGCCACAAAACAATCCACTAAGAAGACAAAAAGAAATTACACTAACGTATTCTCAATTACCTAGCAAATCCACACCCAAATTGAACCGACCCCAATGTACCTCTTCCACCACCGTCTTCACCTCGAAATTGTCTTGTCCAACGTTGAATCCACAACGCTGATATCGAATCCACGACGATAAGCTATACCGGAATCCACCAAAACTTTAGGCTCAAGTTCTCCAGAATCCACCGAAAAACAACTCTCTCTTTTATGAATAAAACAAAATAAACAAACCCTTAAATATAAGCCACTCAATTCATAATATAAACTCTCATAGATATCAAAAGAAACAACAAGCAAAGAAGTTCCAGATGAAATCTTAATACCCAATAAGAAGATCTAGAAGTCATACCTTAGAAACAGACTGAATTGCAGCTTTATAGAGACCAGGGTCGCGATGCTCACTCGAGCAAAGGAATGCTTGCTCGAGTGAGGAGACTAAAATGCGTGTTTTTCTGAGTGTCTTCGCTCGAGCCACCAAAGTGTCGCTCAAGTGAGAAATGTAACTTCTCAGTATTTTTATAGTCAGTGAAAACTTCTGAGACCAAAGATTCTTCACTCGAGCGCACATTCCTTCACTTGAGCAAGCAAACAACTTTGAAGTAGCAAACATGATAGGATTAAGATCACAAATTCCTCTGCATAGGCACAATTCGGGTTGGATTCGCATCTAAATACTTATAGCCTCACTGTGGCTCGGCTTTTTTGCGCCCCCTTTCGGAAGGTTTGAAAGAAAGGCCTCACAGTTCGAACTCCCGTGGTTCTAAATCTAATCTCACAAGTGCAATATGAAACTGATAATCACCAAAGAGTCCAAATCCGGCAAATTATTTTGGAAAATTGATTTTGAATCAAAAAATGCCAAAATTGGACTACTTTACCAGATACAAAGTCGCTACCTAAATATTTTATTTTGAAAAAATTTAGGAAATCCTGACTCGTGCCGAAGGCTATGTGTCCGTCATCACCAAAGTTGCCTCGGCTCGGGAACTTAGGTACAAGAGGGGAAGGTTATGAATTGAACACCACCGCTCTCCCGATCAAAGATCAGCCTCTACTAATCATGATATGATTTTTTATAAACATTATGCGTTCTTGTTCCGGTTATCGGTTATTAAACTAGCTTTACTATGTGATGCTCACAAGCAAGTATAGACTAGTTTGCTCAAATTAGAATAATTCAACTCATGTTTATTAGTGAAAATAGTTTGAATTTGCCACCTCAAGTGGGCTTAAAGATTGCGGATTTGCCACCAAACAAAGTGGGCTTAAAACATGATTTGCCACTACAAAGTGGGCTTAAAACACACATTTGTTGAATCGTTCCAATTCAAACAACAAGCTTTCATCCACAGGCATTCATACAGTTTAGCATTTAAGCATATAGCCTCATGGCAAGCATACGAAACATGGCAATATGGCAATCACACCCATGCAAGTATGCTAAAGCATAAAAACTTATCGAGTACTCTAAGCTAAAACCAAAACTAGTTAGAAAGATGCATGATCCTAACTATGTTAAGTGTCTAATGCAATACATGCAATATGCAATTAATAGGCTCGGCTACTAATATGGCATATGGAGCAATTTGATAACATGCGGTTAAACACGTATTCAAACAACGTATTGAAATGGCAATGCAGTTTGAATGATGCGCGAGTCTCGGTGCATGCAATACAAATGAATGGATGCAAGCATGCGATATGCTAATTGAAACATGACCCTAATCTAACCATTAAAAAGCGATTAAATAAAAGGGAGAAAGATGTGGGGTTGGAAGACATACGCACACTTATTACAACATCACGCCCTCGCGAAGGAGGGTCAGAATGAATAAAAGCTAACTAGCTAGCTAAATTAAACTAATTAAGCTAACTATTACAAACTGAAACTAATTAACTATTCTAGCAAATTAATTAAATAATTACATCACATCTAATTAACTACTTAGCTAATTAATGGATTACAAGTCAATTGCAAGTAACTTGGCCCTAAGAAGTGATGGATATGCATGCGCATGCTCGATTCTACATCCGAAAAGCCACCGCCTTGCTACTGCAAGCCTCTGTTTGCGCATTTGATCACTGAAAATTCTGCCAACTTCCAGAACACGTCTGCTTCATCTTACCAACACATTATGCAAAAATCACTGATGGCAGAGAAGAGGGACAAGAGGCCAATCAGCTACAAATGGTGGCCGGTCGGCCACTACTGATTCACACTTCCATGTTGCAAC